AGGCTTCCTGCTAAACGGTTGTCATCCAGCAAAAAGACACACCAGAAATATCTTCCAATATGTATTTTTCAACTCTTACTTTGTCTGCTACCACATTACTGATTTTTGCCTCTTTTTAAATTATTTTTGTGCCAAAATCTAAACATTGCTGTGTGAGTTTCCTTCCCATTCTACATCTCTGATTAATATTGTATAGAGCTGTGAGTGGCTACCAGGGCATCACGCTCTTTGCATTTTGCTGTTATCAAATGCTAGGATTCTTTGTGTGGTTTCTAAATGATGGCAGACCGTTTCTGCACAATCTCTGTTTTTACTTTCTTTTGTTTTGCCAGATACATCTCCAATGAATGAAAATTGAGTCTTGGGGCTTAGGTACTTTTGGAACAAAGAACATTCACTTTAAAAGATACACTTTTAATGAAGGTGCTTCAAATTTATTCACATATGCTGGAAAATATTTTTTTAAAAAAACTTTTATTCAAAAATATTTTGAATATTTTCTATGTAAATTAAAATACAGAATTGCTGTCCTGAGTTACAGTGATAAAGTAATTCAAAGTGTCTATATATAGGTATATACACCTACACATAGACATATGTGGCAACTTGGATACCTATGAGAAAACGTGTCTGTAACAGAACGTAATGCATTTGCTTTGTGTCTTTGTACACATAAAGAATACGTTTTGTGTCCTTTTCCTTAGTGACAGAGGGTGTAACCTCTACCCGAGATGAAACATTTAACCGTAGCTGGTACTGTTAATAGCTTGCTAAAAGTCAGAGCAAACAAGACCTACACAGATCAACTGTAGAATAAAAAAATATGGTAATAACCATCCTTCTTGAATAAATGAATATATTTTCCAAATGCCCATGCTGATGACAAGCAGCTGTCTCTCCTCTGCCCCTCCATGCAGGCCAACCTCCGTCTCGATGCTGCTGAAAGAGATGCAGCACGGTGCAGTGCTTTGCGGAGAGCTGAGGCTGCTGTTACATCTGAGCAGTGATTTGTAATCACAGCAGATAAAACTTGCATGTCCATCTCCCACGTTTCACATCTAGGATACCTTCTGTCATAATATTCAGAAAATCTAGAGGCAGAAATGAAAGCTGAATTAAGTAGTTATCCGGCACTAGCTTATTGTTAAATTCATGTGCATTTGCTTAGCTTTTCAACGTTCCTGCTTTTGTCAGTTTGCTTGCTGGTGAGTTCAGTGGTTGGTCTGAAACACATTACAGAGCGTCTTGATCCCCCGTAGATTGTGTGTGGAATGAACCAGTAGATTCAGTGTGGTAAGTGATGTGAACGCCACACCACTTGCAAAAATCTCCAGGTAGCCGCCAGTTCTTAAAGAGCATCTTCAGGTACTTCTTAAATTTTTCCCCCATGAAGAAGTAGATGACTGGATTGAGGCAACAGTGAAAAAGGCCGAGGATTTCTGTTACCTGGAAAGCATAGTCCAGATTCCTGCTCACTTGACAGTCTCTAATGACTCCCGTAATTTCCAGCAGTTGCAAGAAAATAACAATGTTGTAAGGGGTCCAAAAGAAGAAAAACATGATCATGACAGCAAAGATCATCCTCACAGCCTTATTCTTTTTCTCATTTCTACAGTGAACTAATGTTTTAATGATCATGGAGTAGCAAAATGTCATAACTATAAAAGGGATTAGGAGCCCTAAAATGTTGATTTCCAAAGTAGAAAAAAGTTTCCATGTTGTGAAATTGCCTGGGTATCTTGACTTGCAGGTAGTATAATTATGTTCGTTAAAAGATTCTTTAAATACAAGTTCTGGAAATGAGGCTGAAAGAGCTACTAGCCATACAACAAGGCTAGTAATCAAGCCATGGAAGGCAGTCCTTGCTTTCAAGGAAAACACTGCACGAACAATTGCCAGGTATCTGTCTATGCTCATAAGCATAATAAAAAATATCCCACTGTAAAACCCAACCAGGTAGATCCACGAAATGATTTTACACCAGGGAGTTCCAAAAACCCATTGGTCTATTGTGAAATAAGACCAGAATGGCAAGGATAAAACAAAGAGCAAATCTGAGATGGCAAGGTTTAGTAGGTACACATCAGTCATGCTCTTCAGCCTCTTGTATTTGAAGAGGACCACAATGACCAGAATGTTTCCCGTGAGCCCGACCAGGAATACAAGGGTATACAGAACAGGGAGGAAGGAGGCTGCAAACCTCTTGACGCTTTCCTTACTGCATGGTTTTGGAGCATCGTTATAATTATCGTAATAGTCATAAAAGGTTGAGATTTCAACTTCAAAGGACTCTGTACTTGAAGAAGTCATGGTTTTTTCCCCAGTTCCTGAGAAGGAAAAAATATAAAAATGTCAGTGACTTCCAGCGCGTGAAGAACGCGTGGTTACTCCGCGTGCCTGAATCACTAGCAATGACTAACTTGCAGTTCCAGTGCACTTCTCATTATAGGTTTTCAAACACTATTTGAGCGTTATGGGATGCATATGCACATTTGCAAAATGTACTTTCTTTAACATGTGAGTGCTTAGACCTTGCAACACTGTGCAAATTGGATGCCAAGCGCACAGAACACTGTTCAAATGGTGGAGAGGAAAGCAAATAGGGATGAAAGATACGGACCACAGATATCAAATCAGAGGGGGATAAATCCTGCGTGGAATTAAATAAAAAGCAAAGCCACTATTCATAGCAGTTCAGGATTTCACTGATCTTTCCAATCAGGCAAAAATCACCATAAGACAACAGTAATAAAAATGCATCTGACTGTTCCTTCTAATGAAATTACGCTTACTGAAAGTTCACATGAGTTTTCAGTAAGTGCTGTTTTCAGTGGTAAACGAATAACAGGAATTTGTCATTTTCGTACGTGTGTCCTTTTCTAATGGACAGAGACAGAGTTTTAAGAGGTGTTACTCTGAGGTAGCTTGGACACGGTGCAAATACATTGCTGATGTATTACTATGTGTTATTCACATCACAGCAAGTGTCATTTTTTTAGCCTAACAGACCAGAATTTTTCTAAGCCTGAGTTATGTCCTTCCCCTTTGTCTTTATTATTATGAATGGAAAGCAGAAGAAAAGTGACTACCATTGCTTTATTTGTCTTTGCACTGTGTGTTGCTGCTACATGACAACAAACATCAATTATCGTTATCGACTGACCCCTACTGTGGGTAGTCCCAGGCATGACACCTCTCCAGCCTACAGTTCTGTTCCATTATACACAGAGACGAATTTAACCTGAATTACAGGTCACAGGGACAAAATTGACAGCAATGGTCTAGAGATGACAGCTTTGCAACAACTGCACCTAGGCATACCTGAACCGAATCTAGTTTCAGCATAATATACTTAAATATTTAAAACTGAAAACATACACTCAGATAATGCACATACACTCACTTCTGATGATGCAGGATTTCTTAACATGATGAGCATACAGCAACTGCATTTTGTGAATTTTACCTTTTCTCCTCCTTTCTTCTCGGATGATATGAAGAAGCTTCTTTGCTGTAAGGGTGCAGAATCACTTGCTTCTCACCAGGTAGATCTGTCAGGGAGGTGCTGCCTACAGCGATATCCAGCAGCTGCAAAAAGGAGGTATCACTAGGTAGCTGTGTCTCTTAACGGAAACTTTGTACTTCCTTACAGATTACATCAGAAGTGTTTCTCTCCTCAATGCTCATCAGAGATGGTTCCTTAAACTCAGAAATAAAATTAAACACATTTTATAGTGCATAACGAAATGCAAAGTTTCCACTGAGAGCCTGATTACTGCGTTAAAGCAGCTTCATCTTACCCAATAATCACTAAAAGTAGATGTCACTAAGCAGCTCTCATTCAACAGAAACCTTGTGCTTTCTTATGGGTTGTAAAATGCATCTTAATCTCAGAAAAAAATAATCAAAGGATCATCTGTAGTGAGGAGAGAGGAGGACGGCACTTGATGAATGTGTGGGAGGTCTGTTCCTAGTCCCTCTCTGACAGAGAACTGATTTTGCAAGTTATACTCTGTAATTGTAGAAAAAAATGTAGGGAAGGCTCCTTTTATTAATTGTTATTTGATCTTCCTAACTCCTGCTTATCTTGCTAAGAAAAGAAATGAAGGCATGTTAATTCACGCTACCCTTTTTTACTTGATGTCTCCTGCAGCAGGTTTTGTATACAGCAAATCTACCTTCTACCACTGAGCTATCACAGTCATAGCGGTCAAAATATCGAATAAGATGTAGGATAGGCGCATGTGGTTTAAGGCAGAGGGTGCAGAGGTTTACTGTGGTTCTTGTTCACAGCAGGAAGCTCAGCATCTTCCATGAATTTCTCCTGAGAGCGTGGTGGGTCTTATCTGTCTTTTGGGGGATCCTGGGAAGGAAGAATAGAGCACAGAGGACATGCACTAGTCAAAGGGGATGGTCTTGAGTCCTGCCAGCAGAACAGCTGTGGTAACAGCTGGCAAGTGCTGCTCTCCTCCATGTCCTGGAAAAGGGCAGCCAAACAGAAGTAAAAGCCATTTCTCAACAGGAGAGGCTGCCTGGTTGTTAGCAGGAGAAACTGAAGAGTCACAAGTAGAAGCAGAAACAAGAAAGCTACAAGAGGTGGTTGGGAGGGTAGGAAGAATAATAGATTTCAGTCCAGGAGAAGTGATAGGTTTTCTAGGTTCACCTCCTGTATTATTCCAGACACAGGTATAGCTTTCTTTCAGGTATGCTATTTGCTGCTATCCTATATACCTCTGATGTTGTTACTTTTCCTAATAACTTACATTTGGCTGAAGTGTTTCTTCCAGAAAGGCTTGATGTGAAGACAGCATGAGATGTGGGATCTACCAGTTTCATGTTTTGCCAAAATAAAGTACTTGTATGGGAAGTAGCTTCTCAGTCGCCTTTCACAAACTGCATCTGTGGAGGTTTTTAAATCCATCACTGGGAGATGTTTGTCTGGTGCAGGTTATTGCTCTGCAGATCATGTACGTCTTCTCTTCATTTTACTAGCAGTCCTTTAACGATGCAAACATCAGATGAGCAGGCAACGCTGTGGTACCAGTTTCATCAGCTCTGCTCACAGAAGCTGTTCCTCTTGCTGCTCTTTTGTCCATGTAAGGGCCCCATTAATCCCTTCTTTGACATGTTGTTGCACTAGGGGCATAAGTTCAGCTCTTCACCCCCAATAACAATGACATAAAACCTTTCTTTAAGCACCTGCTTTTCAGGAAAAAACACCTGTTGCTCTGGAGGCATTGTTCTTTCTTAGGTTTGGGTGTAATGCTTTTGCCTCAATGAACCACCGTGCATCTGCGTGCCTATCTTGTCCCACGCATTATTTTCTACTCCATCAAACTAGGTGTCTCCTTTGATTTTCATCAGTGGTGATTTTTCTTGATTTCCAGATCAAGTAGTGAACAGAATTGAATCCAGATACAATCTCTCTTCTACCCTGTAAGAACCCTTCTTGGTTAAGGGATCCCATCACCAGTAACCTTTTGAGGTCTGTCAACCTGTCCTTAGCACACATGCTGCACTTCAAATACAATTCTGATCTGTCAATGATAACGTTATCAGAGACCAAGTCTGCAGCCTTATTAATGCCAGTTTAGCTTGATTCACGTGGCACTGGCCTGAAGAAAGGACTTATCTGGCCTATTGCCTTTTGCCCAGTCCTTCCTTGCAAGCAAGGCTTTCAAGTAGCAAATGCTTCCTAAGCAGCTTTCTGTACCTGCTCGCTGCCTCAGGTGAAAAGCTGGGCTGGTCCCACCACAGTAGTGCAGCAAAAACTTTTTGTCAGGGCATGCGTGTGTGGCTGTGGTGAGCTGAGGAAAAATGGCTGGACCAGGCTGTCTTGCAAAGCAGCAGTTGTGTTGCTGAAGCCTGCCATGCCAATGCATTTCATTGGACCAGCAAATGGGAAGGTCTGTCTTTGTAAGGAGAGTTTGAGCAAGAGCGCATCTGCCGAAAGGGGAATGCTCAGCCACCAAAAGAGAAGAATGGTTGCGGCTACAGGTGATGAAAGGTTAGGATGTATGAACTCCAGCCAATGAAACTAAAAAGAATATCTGACAGTTCATGAAAATCAAGAGGATAAAAATGAACCCTGAAACACCTTCTGATGGCCTACCAATGAAAAGAGTCCCTGGGAGAGCCTGTGAGGAAAACTGCAGAGAACACCAAAAAAAAGAAATCTTTCAGCAAACGAGACGGTGCAGAAAATGGATGAAAGGTGGTGTAAGTGAAGGTCCTGCAATGGCTTGAAGAGAAAGAAGAGTGAAAGGGACTAAGTGTAACTGTAGTCCGTAGTGGGAGAGCTCTGAGGCCCCCCTCTAACATGACAGTGTGGGGTTTTTTTCAGCTCCTCCTCAGAGAAGTAGAACCTGGCAGAGACTAACAAAAGGGAGATGGCAGGAGACCATGGGGTTAACAGGAAAGGGGGAAGGGATCTCAATGAGATGTAGAGGATGTTGCTGTAAAACTAACAGGTTGACAGGGGAAGGGGAGAAGAAAGAAGTCGTCTTACCTCTTTACTAGATGGTATCAGGTATGTGGCGCTGACCAAATAAGTTACCAGAGTGAAGAGAAGTGGACCAAACCTGATCAGCCTGACTGTGGACCAAACCTCATCAGCCTGACTGAGAGGAGATTAACCTTTTATATAGGATGGGTGGAGGGGAGGCCCACATTAAAACCAACAGAAGAGAACTTAATAAAAGCAAAAAGCAGAACAACCCAAACCATGAAAACTTTTTCTTGCCAAAAGATCATTTCAGCCACTCCCACCTTTTACAGAAAGTCTTACCATTAACTTGCCCTTTTACAGGATGCATGAGTCTTGTGCAAGGAAAGACTGGAGATACAGATTTATCTAACTTGCTAGCTAGGCTGTGAGATACTCACCGCTGATATACCACTGCACTGTTCATTCCCTCTGAAATCAGTGTTGGCTGTGGATAGATGATTCAGAAGTGTTTATTAGAGAAGTCCTCATCCAGAAGAGATTGCCTCAGGAGAACTGCAGATGATGGTAACTAAAGATAGCCAACTATTGCAAATGTGAGTATTTTGACTGATTGTGTGGATCAGTGCAGGATCCAGGCTGCCAAAGTCACAGCTGGACAAACGATCAAACAATTACCTTTCTCAACAAACTGTCCTCTCTGTTAGGCGACCAACCTTCTTGTGTGGTCAGGCCTCGTGCAGTTCTTCTTTTGCAATTCAGATGAATTTGAATCACAATTTGCACGTCTGTAGTTCCAATCTTTGCTCATTAGTAAAGTGTTTGTGCCACCTACTCATTGTGCAGTTGTCTTCTTCATAATTTT